GGGGGGGGGGGTGTTTTGCCTTCATGTCTATCTGTGCACTGTGTTTGTGTCTGGTGCCCTCAGAAGAGGTCAGAAGTGGGTGTTACAGCCTCTGGAACTGTAGTTAAGGGCAGTTGTGAGCTACCATGTGGGTTCTGGGAACAGAGCCTGGGTTCTCTGCAGAGCAGTCAGCGCTTTAAACAGCTGAGCCATCTCTACAGCCCAGAACCACTTCATTCTAAGCATGGTATAGTAGTACGTATCTACAGTTGAGCATGGGGTTAAGGTAGGATGGCTGCAAAGTTTGACGCAAGCCTGGGACATAGCAAGATTCTATCTTAACCCTTAATACTCCCCCTCCCCCCCAAAAGAAGTATGAAGAAGCTCCCCAAAGAAATAAAAATTAAGGGATTTGAAAAACTCCCAAATCCCAAGTTTAGAAATACTTAAAATCTCACAGCTATGATACTGTGATTATTGGCATTTTGATCTTAGGAATTCTGATTCTAGTTCCTCATGGAAATTCTCATTTTCCCACTTTTTCTGGCCATTTGTATGACTTCGGGCTTACCAATTTTGGATGCTAAAAATAGATTTAAAATCCTTTCTCTAAATAGAGCTATATAATCCCCAGGAATGGTGTAAGGAAAACTAAAAAACCAAAGCAAATGCATGCACGCACACAAGTGTGCACACAGTTCCCAAATCTAGTGATGAGGGGTGTACATATCAGTGCTAGAGCACATTTAGCATTCATTCCTGAGGCTCAATCCCCAGCACCAACCAAATAACAAAGAGACCAAACAAAATAAAACCTCATACCCACTCCCAGAATCCAGATACAAAATACAGTGATAGACAGTCACAAACCTTGGCCTGTACACACCTGTAATGTGACTAGAAGATCACAAGTTCAAGACCAATCTGGGACACACAGGGAGGATGTCCTACCAAGCCAACCAGTTAAACAAAAACTCTGCCACCTCATTACTTTAATGCTTTTTTACAAACTCATGGCAAACCCGTCAGAGTACTATCTAGAATCTGTTCTTCAGCCCACGGGGTTTTTATATCTCTATTTTAGAGACTGTGAATGGAGTCCTAGGCCTGAAGGTTTGGGGAATAGCAGAGGTGCTCTGAGGAGGGATGAAGGATGCATTGCACAATGTCTTCTCTGGAACTCAGAAATTTCCAGGCTTAGGGCCTCCCAGCAATCTGGCCACAGGACTCGATTCCCATCCTGACATTATTGTCCCCAAACTGTAGTTTGAGGTCCTGCCCGACAGACCCTCGGAAGCTTGTCTTCGGGTTTCTGCCCTGCTGCCCTTAAAGAAAGGGGCAAAGAGAAGGAGAGTTGGCTGGGGAAAGTCGCTGGAGGTCGGTGGCTGGCTGTTGGGTCAAATTTCACAGCCTAGGGCCAGTGATAGAGGTAGAGGGAAAGGGCCAGATTGATCTACAGAGTTGAACTCTGCCAGGGACAGAACAGTCTACCTAGAGTTGTGGAGAGCTGGATGACAGGCAGAAGGGCCGGGGCACACTGAGGGAAGTTTGATGACCAGGACATGCCTTTACCCTTGAACCTGCAAGGGAGCCCGATCTGCTGACCTCTGCCCTGCAGCGAGGTGCGCGCTCTTCATGCACCAGTTCCCGCACTTTCCCGCTTTCCCAGCTCCTTGGGCGTCAGCGTCTTACTTGGCGATTGTCTCTCCTGAGACAATCTCTGGCTCTCCTGACCTGCCTATTCTTATCTGCGAATATAATCCTCTTTTTCCACCCGGCCCATCTCAATTCTTCAGTCCTCTAACTCTTTCCTTTCCTCACCCAGCATGAACTCCAGTCCGTTTCTCTGTCCTTCTGTTCCGGTTTAGGACCCCGCTCCCTCCGTCCCAGTTCAAGCCATTCTAGAACCCCCCGGTGTCCCTTCCCCTCTCCCAGCGTGCCCGCCTTCCCAAGGCTGCACGGATCGGAGCCGGGACACTAACCCGATTCGGAAGAGCAGCCGCTGGCTGCGCGTCATGAGCAGGCCGCGGAAGCCCCGCCGCGCTTGGCAGCCGCGGGGACTCAGGAGCAGCACGAAGGCGAAGAACAGCAGCCCGCAACCGGAGACCCACAGCCAGGGCGCCGGCCAGCTCTGCCAAGCCATGCTGGGGGCCGGAACCGGGGGCGGGGCTGAGCGTTGCTAGGCGACGGTCCCGCCCCGCCCCACGCACAAAGAGGCGGGGCTCCCGGCACCTGCGCGCTGTGGGGAGCGGGACACATAGCCCCTCCCATTACTTTACATTCTGACTCGTCCCCTTGCCAGCTGTGGCCTGGCACGCGCTGCGAATCCCTAGATTAAGACAGACTGGCTCCTCCCCTTACTGGCGAGTCCCGGGGCAGAGCTGGAGCCGGCTTAACAGTGTGCTAATCAGGGGCCACATAGACCAAGAGTCCCGCCGGAGTACAGAAGCCACGCCCACCCCCCTCCCTTGCGGGGGGGGGGGGGGGGGGAGACTCTGGGAGAAGCCTTGGTGTGGTCCCCCTGGTGAGAAGCTTTAGACTCCTAAATTTTATCAACTGGAAGGAACCCGGGAGTTCATTGCATCTTCTGCCGTTCATTTATTCATTCACTAAATTAAAGGCGTTGTGCCAGGTTTTGAGGTAGTCAAAAGACACACAGAAGCCACAGATGGCTCAGTGGATAAAGACACTTGGTGCCAAATCTGACGACCTGAGTTTGAACCTTTGGACCCACTTGGTTTGGGAGGAGAGAAGCACTCCTACCAGTTTTCTGATAACCTTCCCAGGAGTGCCATGGCGTTTGAGCTCACACAACTTCACAGTATCCAGGGTGGGGCAGTGGTTTGGTGGCACAGCATGTGTCAGACCCTGGGTTTAGTTACTCCTCAACAGGGAGGATGGGAACATTCCTGGAGCCTACACTATGGAATACAGTGATGAGACTAAGTCGGTGAACAAATATAATTGCATGCATAAGTGTGTGCCTATGTGCTCACAAACTTACAGATAGATGTGACGAGAAACTGTGGTGCCTACAAGGAAGCAAAAGGGGGAACCAATGATATGGGACATTGAGGACCATCTTAGATGGGGAGGGCATGTGACATTTCACCCATGTCTCAAAGATGAAAAGAGGCCGCAGTCCACGGCGACTTCATCAAGGTTATGCAGCCAAGGGTGGCAGAGCCGGGTCTAGCAGCTAGACACCCTCATTTCCTTGCCTGGTCTGGTTTCCACATTGATGTCTCCTCACCCCATTGCTGCTGCCTTCCTAAAGAGTTCTAGATGCTGTTCTGGTCAATGGGGTGGAGGTGGGTGTGAGAGCAACTGTGGTGCCATTTAGATTGAGACACACAGGAGCCAGGGCCGGGCTGGCTGGATTTGGTCTTGCCCAGCCCTCTGCAGGAAGGGAAGGAAATGCTGCAAATTCAAGCTCACATCACTCCCACTGGGAGAGGCGGAGGGAAGCAGGTGAGGCAATACTCTTGTTTTCCTCCCTGCTTCCTGAGCTCAGCCTGAGAGCTCTAGATAACAAGACCCCACATCACATTTTCCATCACCCTCTGTGGTCTGGGAGTCAGTCACAGTACCCACTGTACAACTGTAGGTTCCTACGTACAAGTTTGTACTTCAATCCCCTTCACCCACTGCCCACCAAAAAGCCGATGGGTGGGTTAAATCATTTCCAAACTGCATTGTAATTCACCCAATCCTTGCTTTACTCTGGGAGCCCCAGGAATTCGGAGTTTCTTTTCTGTTGGACCATCTTGAGAGACACAACCTGTAGCCTGTAGACATACACTCCCTGTCTCTTAACTGCAGTTCTATTGCACAGGAAGTGCTGAAGCTGCCAAGGGCTGTGGTGAGATGAAGACCAATAAGCAAATTCACAGAAGGCAAGTTCAGTGAGGGAGCCTTTGTATCTCTGTGCCTGCACATGCAAAACTGAAGGATTGTGGGTCACTGTGAACATACCCTGCTGGAGGAGAGTTGCTGTGGAGCAGCATTTTGTGGAGAAAATAAAACACAGTCCCTGTGTTTTATTATCTGAAACAGGAAGTGCAGGCTCAGGCATGGGCCTGCAGAAAACACAAAGGACAGAATCTTTTTTTTTTTTTTTTGGTTTTTTCAAGACAGGGTTTCTCTTGTAGCTTTGGATCCTATCCTGGTACTCGATCTGGAGACCAGACTGGCCTGGAACTCACAGAGATCTGCCTGCCTCTGCCTCCCGTGTGCTGGGATTAAAGGCATGCGCCACCAATGCCTGGCCCAAAGGGCAGAATCTTAAACCTCAGGCACTTGCACCCCTCCAATATCCATTAACAAACATTAACAGATTCATGGATAATAAACACAAGATTTGGTTTATGGAATCCTTGGAGTCCAGCAAGGCTGGGGATAGGGATTGAAGGAGAGTGTCTGTGCAAACTCATGCAGGCTTGGGGAGCCATCCTCCTCTACTCTGGACTGTTCTGGAAGACATTCTAGGATCGCTCCAAATCTGCTGTAGTCCTCTCTCCTGTCCCATGAAAATCTGCTGTTCTAGCAAACTAGATGCTATTCACTCCTTTCCTGCATTCTGCCCTGCAATATCTAATCACCCATAGTTTCTAGAATTCACCATATTGTTTTGTGCTCCCGCGCTTTTGTATGCACTATGTTTTCTGCCTGGAGTGCCCTTCTTTCTTTGTTCCATAGATTCAGATCTCACAGGCCTTCCTGAACGAGCTCACACTCATGCTTACCAGGACCCTTTAGTGTGATGCCAGTGCCATACCTTTCCGTTTGCTGGTGGTATCAGAGTGTAGTCTCAAGCTTCACCATCTTTCTTCAGAGTGGAAACTCTAATTTAATGTATTCATCTGTAGCTTGTCAGTGTCTGGCATGGTGCCACCTACATATTAAATACTGACTAAATGTTCTTTGAAATGCCAAAGTCCCATCACAGCCCACAGGGCTTCTGCTCCATAGCTGAGCCTGTCTTCATCCTTCTTAAATGGCATTATTCCCCTTGTCACTTTGCATCAGCTACGTGGTCCTTCAAATGTACCAAGGTCATTACCACCTCAGGCCCTATGATGTTAATCTCTATTGTTACCTTGGTGAGTTCTAGACTTACCTGGGAGGTGAACCTCTTGGCCTGTGGGGTATTGTTTTCATTAGGTTAGTTGAGATGAGATGACCTGACCTCTCTGGGCTACTCCGTGGGTGGCACCATTCCCTAGGCTGCAATCCTAACTGTAGGAAAAGGAGAACAGGCTAGGCAGTGATGGCATATAACTTTAATCCCAGCATTCAGGAGGCAGAGGCAGGCAGATTTCTGTGAGTTCAAGACCAGCCTGGTCTACAGACCTAATTCTAGTACAGGCTTCAAAACTACAGAGAAAGCCTGTCTTGAAAACAACTAAACAAACAAAAAACAAAGCAAAACAAAAACAAACAAATAAAGAAAAAGGAGAACAGGGATTCACCACCCTCTGCTTCCTGACTTTGGACGCAATATGACCAGGTTCGTGCAGGCTTCTGCTATCTTACCTTCCTTGCCAGGCTGGACTGTTCTCTTCAACTTTGAGTTAAAATGACATCCCTCCCCTTTAGACTCAGCATGGCAGTACACTGTTTTGATCCCAGTCCTCAGAAGGTAGAGACCAGCAGATCTCTGTAAGTTCCAGACCAGCTTGGTCTCCGGAGTGAGTTCCAGGTCAAGCCAGCACTACATAGTTGAGACCTTTTCTCAAAACCCAAGCAAAACCTTTCTCCCTTGAGTTGCTTTTCTTGGGGCATTTTTATCACAGCATCAGGAAAAGAAACCAAGACGGGTCCTTTGTACACACTCCTTCCCCTTGGAAGCTGAGGACTGATCTGCATCTTGAGCAGAGGGGCAGAGAATAGTAGGTCCGTACCTTACACCCTAAGGAGTTTACATCTGCAGATGCCCCTTTCTCAGGCTGTGTCTTACAGTCATCTCGGGGCACACAAGTCTTTGTTGTGGGCTTGTCCTAGGCATTACAGGACTTTGTCAAGACCTGAAGCATCTACTTCTAGATTCTATCGTGTCCTCTCCCGCCCAGGTGTAGTTGGGAGCCCTGGTGGATGGGGGAGCAGCTGCCCCTCTGCTCAAGATGCAGATCACTCCTCAGTTTCCAAGTGGAAGGAGTGTGTACACGCAAAGAATAGTAGGTCAAAGAATAGTAGGTCCGAGCCGGGCGTTGGTGGCGCATGCCTTTAATCCCAGCACTAGGGAGGCAGAGGCAGAGGCAGAGGCAGAGGCAGAGGCAGGCGGATCTCTGTGAGTTCAAGGCCAGCCTGGTCTCCAGAGTGAGTGCCAGGATAGGCTCCAAAGCTACACAGAGAAACCCTGTCTCGAAAAACCAAAAAAAAAATAAAAAAAAAAAAAAAGAATAGTAGGTCCGTCCCCCACCCAGGCCTCTTCTGTACACCCCCCCCATTATACCACTTGTACTTTATTGTGGTGTGTTTTGGTTTTGGTTGTTGTTTTTTTTTTTGAGACAAGATTTCTCTGTGTAGCTCTGTAGACCAGTCTGGCCTCAAACTCACAGAGATTCACCTGCCTCTGCCTCCCAAGTGCTGGAATTAAAGGCACACACCACCACCACCTGGCTAGTGTGGTGAGTCTAATGAGAATTGTCTCCCTAGGCTCAGATGTTTGATTGTTTGGTTCCCAGTTGGTGGTACTGTTTGGGAAGGATGAGGAGGTATGGCCTTGTTGGAGGAGAGGGGTGTCACTGGGAGTGGGCTTTGAGTTTTCAAAAGCCCACACCATCCACAGTTAATGCTCTCTCTCTCTCTCTCATGGTTGTTGTCTCCATATGTAAGCTCTCAGCTATTGCTCCAGCCCCATACCTGCCTACTGTCATGCTCTGCACCCTGGTGCTCATGGACTAATCCTCTGAACCTGTAAGATAAACTCTTTCTTTCTATAAGTTGCCTTGGTCACAGTGTCTCTTCACAGCAATAGAAAAGTAGCCAAGATAATTACTGTCTACGTCCTTCACCTTTAAGGCACTTTACACAACTGGACATTGTCTTATGAGTCCCACTGCCAATCCCGCTGGAATGTAAGCCCCATGAGTCGGTGGTATGTACAATGCTGGCCCAGAGCATTAAGTTAGCATTTGATGAATGACTGAATGTATG